TTCTATATTTAAAATTTCTTATTCACTAAACAAAGAAAGGAGTCGTGGTATGGTGCTGTGGGTTAATGCGCTGGACTGCAAAGTCGGTTTGAACTATGAAGTCAGCAGCTCAGGCTCACCAGCTGCTCTTCAGAAACCCTATACAGGGTCCCTATGGGTTGGAACTGACTCAGTGGCACTTAACAACAACAACAAACAGAAAATAGATGGTTGAGGAAGGGGGAAGGGAATTTAATGTTATGTCACATATTAGTGATCAAAGAGAACTCTCAGGACTTCAGACCTGACCTCAAAGTCATGATTTCATCAAAATAATAGGATAAAGATCTCAGAATCGTCATAAAAATCACCAGAGAGGTGTTTACCAGGGATAGGTATCCTATTTAAAGTCACGAGGTTCAGAAGGTATCACTCTTTTGGAGTCATATGAGTATATATTAATGTTTTAGAGATTGTGCAGTATTGTAGAAGAACTTTGAAGGCATTATAAACATCTTCATTGTATTTGAGAAATGTATTGCCAAGGGTCAGTGTGTAAAAATCCATAGTGAAGATAGGTAAAAGGTGAGGCTGTTTTTCTCAGATTCTCCCTTGCCCTTTTATTTGTTAATGGATGACTGGACCTAGTAAATTGTTAAACAAAATGTTGGGGAACTGAAACTGCAAATATACCCTGGTATCACCAATAGAAGGAGCTCTGGTAGCGTAGTGGTTACGAATCGGGCTGTGAACCACAAGGTCAGCAGTTAGAAACTACCAGCTGCTCCGCAGGAGAAAGATGAGGCAATCTGCTCCCATAAAAATTTACAGCCTCGGAAACCCTGTTCAGGGTCGCTATGGGTCGAAACCGACTCGACCGCACTTAACAACAACAACAACATCACCAACATTAAAAACCATTAGGTTTTTAACATCTGTGTGTTAAATGAGGTTTCAGTGAATTCAGTTGACTTAATTGCATGGATTAAAACAAATTGTATAACCAGCACTTTAAGGGCAATTGTCCTTGAAATGAGTCTGGGACAGGGGAGAAGTTCAAGCCCAAGACTGGTGTCCCCTGCCCTGTCCTACCACTGATGAGTCCTTGGAACTGATGCTTCCCAACTACATTGATTATCTTGATAAAATCAAGTGCGTCCATCATATCTCATCTTGTTAAGGTGAATTTGAGTGTGAACTCTCTAGCCTCAAGATCTAGACACCTCAAGCTTAAAATTTTCTTTCCCTCCCTTTACCATTTCTCCCCATTGCCCCACTTCCTCAGTTTCATTTAGTAACAATGCCAGGTTGTAAACAAACACAAAAGATAGACTTGGCCTGATGAAGCACATTGCTCAATTACAGCAAGATATCTAATTTAGGAACCATTTGCAGAACCTCCTGCTCAGTATTGCTTTAAAAACTACTGCAAAAATATAATGAAGTCACACCCATAAATTACACATGGAAATTATTTTATAATCATTATTTTATAATCCTGTCTCACATAATGAAAAACCTCATTCTAAGAATTGTTAATAACTGGAAATTTATCTCATTGAATTACCTCAACCTCAAAAACAGACGCTTCAGATTAGGCAGTTGCCATTTTAGATTGTTCAACTGTTGTTAAGTCCCATTGTCTCTGCTGAATTGTAGTTTCAGAAACGGTGCTATTGTCCTTCCAAAGAATTACACTTCCCAAAAGCATAACACACCGTGGGCAAAAAAAGTTAGACAAGAGGCTTAGGGAAATGAAAGATAGCTTTAGTAGTGTAGACGTCCTTACAGAAAGGTAAGGATGGGCATCGACCTGCGAAAAAAGAGGAGGTGGAGCCCCAGATATAATTTGGCTTCTTCCTTATATATCCCATTGTCAGGGGAGTAAGCTGGTTTGAGTGTCCAATTAACCAATCTGGGGAAATGGTCCATATATGGTTTCAGGTTTCAGTTTATTATGAATTAGTTTTATTTCCTATTGCCAACAGTTTCTTCTCTCCCACCCTACTTGCTCTCTTCCCTATCCTTTTTTCAGAAATTCCTCATGGCTGAGGCTGGCTTATTTCCTGCTGAGACCATTACCTGAGACCTTCTTTCCCTGTTGTAATTATCATTCCCCCCTTAGAAAGTAGGAACCTCCCCCCCCCCTAATTCTTTAGAATTCTTGACTACTTCTACTGGCATTGGCTATAGTAATTGGGATTAGGGTTTCTATCTATCTCTCCTGTTAAGTGGTTGCGGGTAATCAATCAACTCTCATTCCTCACATGGTCCTGAGTCAGGAGAACACAGAACAGTTAGATGTTTTCTTGCAATTTAATTGCTTGACCTGAGTATTAGGGAAACGGTTTTTATCTTTGGACATCCAGCAGGGGCAAAACAGATGCTTCCTAAAAGGTTCAGAGTAGTACAGATTTAGGATTGGCAATATTAAGAAAATTCCAATCCTCAGAGCGAGAACTCAGGAAGGAGTAACGTACTTAACTTCTTTTTGAATAGGAGCCTCAAATCTTCTACCAGCTCATAGATATACTACGGGAGCTTCCCTTGAGGCTGGCCTGGCTCCAGCTTTTTTTTAGGTTTTACTCTGGGTACATGCACCCAGGTCTCCACTCCATTAAGTTTGACCCTGTATGTTGGCTCCCTCTTCTCTCCAGTCTTCTAGTAACACCCATCCTCCTGGGT